GCTTCAGCAGCTTCCTTGAAAAAAAATTGAGAAGTCGATAATTTTTAAGCCTATAGGAAGTTTCAGGATGAACAGGATGGGTGGGCGGGAAGGGGGGAGTTTGAGTCAGATCAGACCAAGCATAAACAGCAAAGGTCATTTGTCAGCTAGGGAGCTGAAAACGAACATTACGACTCAATGCAGTTCCCATTGTCCATTTTGACTGCAAATGATGAAAAACGGTTCAGAATGAGTCTATTTTAAGGGCTGCTCAAATTTGAAGTTTAATTTATTCAGAAGTTAATCAGCTCTTTCTGGCTCGTAGGATATATTCTTGTCTGCGTTTGTCTCGCTTCCTCCACCGTTAATGTTTTTTCAGGGTTTGTTCTATAGGACTGGTATTTCTGAACAAGTACCTTCTAAGCAGCGATGACCTTCAGGTTTGTTCTAAAAACGCTTGATCGTCGCTGTTCTTTTGACTGCATCATGACTTTCAGCTGAACGCCCCTCTCTTCATTACATGGTTTCAATGCGTCGTCACCGTCGTCCTTTGTTTCTTGTTATCATTCTTATCCAAGAAGCTTCCCCATACAATCACATTCCCTCGTATGACTCTTGATGCGAAGCTGAGCAGAGAAGTAGGTTTCTTCTTGAGTGTCTATCAATATTAATAATGTCTCCACGTTGGGAGGATTGCCTAGCAGGAGCAAAAGCTTTCCATGACCATCAAGTAGTCTTCAGAGCTCTCCTACATTTTATCCTCATTTTGCGCTATTCCGGCAAAGTCAGTAGAAAGCTCGGTGTTGTGCTGTTGTTGGCTGTCATCGGTTTTTTGATAATGGCTGTCCACCTGAGGACGGTCGAGATGTGTGATCAACATCAGTTGCTAAGGGATATATGACTTAGACAGGCTTGGGTATCGGTGTGAAGAACCTCCTCGTTTGCCGTTTTCCCGTTTAAAAGTGATCTGCCTTAGTTACTTGTTTCGCAGTGGGATAACTGTAGGTGGGCATATGAGCGGTTAGAGGGAACCCGAAAGGACTAAAGGACTAACGGTTAGAGGGAACCCGAAAGAAGGAAAGGGAGGAAGGACCAAGGATGCGACTCTTAGCCTGTCCAGTCTTACTGTTTCTCACTAACACACTTTTGTTCCTATCCACTGTCATAACACTTACTGTAAACTTGTTCCGCAGAGCCAGCTTCTGCTTTCTCTATGGGAAATAATTTCTTGAAGCTAATCTGGAAGTTATCGCAACAATGCTGAGTTATAGGTAAATTTCTTGACCCGAGGCGGGACCTGAACCCGCACCTCACGCTTCTCGGGCGAGTATGCATTCCGTCACGCCACCAGATCTATCTCTTTCCCCAACAGAAGCTCATCGTAAACCTTTGGCCCTCCTACTGGGGTCTTAGGATAATCTTCAGACTGCTGACTTTCTCTTGCAGATCTCGCCCTGACAAAATTCGGGGCCTTACGCAGAAGGGTAGCCTTGCGAATCTTCGAAAAAACTGTAGCTTCCTCTTGGTTCTTATTGTAAGCCCGTGATAGCAACTCATCGCAACTCTTGTATGGAAAAACTAGAGAGAGATCTCATCTGTCTGTTGTGGTTTGATGTAACTCACCCAAGCGCCTATTTAGATTCTTCCGCTGTCATTAGTTTTTGTTGGAATGATTGCATTCAACAATCTGTGCCTCAAATACGTTGGTGTATCATTCTATTATTTGGGACGTTGCCTTACTACTGTTTTCAATGTGGTAAGTGTCTTACTTCGAATTCGATAATTTGCTCTTTGCAAGTTTATCAGTTCTCAACTTCTCTGACTTCCACTTTTAGATGTGTACTTATTTGATTTTGGGCCAAAAAACTTCCGCGCGAGCTGTAGGCTGCTGCTTCCTAATAGTCGCTGGTTTTCTTATGGGTGTCGATCAAGAGGATGCCTCAGGTTTCACTGCATACAGCATATAGATTATTCATTTTTTTATTCATCTATTTATTTATTTAGCCACATTATCGCCTTTATAAGTCCCCCAAAAACTCAACTGTTATGCTATTTAGGGTCTCTTTCTGTTATGGGAGTCATATTTGGTGTTTTGGCATCTCTTTGCGTTGCGTTAAATGCCATCTACACACAGAGGTTTGTTTTTATGCACCCAGTGCCTTCAATTCTTTACAGACTTCGAATTACTCAATTCTAGTTCCCTTCCGATTGTTGGAGACTCCATATGGCGGTTAACTATGTACAACAATCTGAATGCTATAGTGCTATTCCTACCTTTCATGCTGTTCTTGTAGGTTTTGTACTTACCTCTGTACTTGGTAC